AATATAAATACATAATAAAAAAAAAAAACAATGTTAAACCCAGGGTCGGAGAGAAAGGGAGATCCCGGCCGTCTTTGTATCCCCGCAGCGCGGGATAGGAGTGTGTGTACGCTCGGGGAAACACCTACACTTGGGTCGGGAACCACGATGGGAAACGACAGACCTTAGGTTACATACAGAATCATAACTGTGAAATAGTAAGGGACAAATGTTAACTTAAAACTTTTAACCATTTCTTTGTGCGCCGGGTCGGAGAGAGTGTTGCCCCTCCCTCCAGGTTGTGCAACACGAACAAAGACGCCTATGAGACGATTTGTAACGTCTGTGTTTTGGGTTCATGAAGAAGGCCAGACAAGAGATAAATTGCACCCAGACAGAGAGACGACTTCGAGACAATTTGTAACATCTGGTTGTTTGCTCGTGGGTTTTATGGAGGGAGTTGACAACGGAATATACCGTCAGTGATGCACACAAGGACATACGGACACACACATGGACACACCTGCCTACGGACAGATCCTGACACAGCAAAAATCGGAAGCCCCGCCTTGTGGGCGGGATCCAGGGGGATTTTTCAGCATAAAGGAACGGATCCTGAACATTGGAAACCAGTGCGACGGGAGGGTCCACTCAGAAGCTCGACCGGGAGGGTCGACTCAGGAACGAGTGCGACGGGAGGGTCCACTCAGAAGCTCGACCGGGAGGGTCGACTCAGGAACGAGTGCGACGGGAGGGTCCACTCAGAAGCTCGACCGGGAGGGTCGACTCAGGAACGAGTGCGACCAGAGCAGGTCCACTCAGGAGTGCGACCAGAGAGTCGACTCAGGAGCGAGGGCGACCAGCGGGTCGACCCAGGAGCGAGCTCGACCGGGAGGGTCGACTCAGGAGCGAGCTGCGACCAGCGGGTCGGCTCGACTCATCTTCAGCTCGTCAATCTCTGCTGCCGCCGGAGATCTCCGCTGCCGCCGGTGGTGAGCGTCGCGACTTGGCGACGATCCAGCGCTGCACGCTACGAGCGAGTTGTGGGCGCCACCTACCGACCGGGTTCCGAACTGCGACAGCGTATCAACAGCCATCCGAGCCAATTCACCACGGTGACAGGGGAGCGCCTGATACGTATGACGCGCACCGCCCCCTCACCACACGACCACCAGGCGTCTGTTTGACATAAAGAATCGACTCCGAACACTGACTATTCAAGACAACTCTTACCACTCAAACACACTCGAACCCACAAGTCATCCGTGGCTGGGAAGGCATCACAACGAGACCGAGTGGTGGCCTCCGTCGTATAAGAGTATTCTTAATTTTTATCTTTAATATTTAGTGGGCTGTACTCTTAATCGCATAAATTCCCAACAGATCCATCAATACGAACTGATTCTTGGCACCTCCTTCCGCCGAGCCACGCTCACGTGGGGAGTGGTGGCCCACCGGATCCTTATCAGGTGATCTGGTCCCCAATTAGTAAACTTGGTATAAGATAACGATCTTCGGAAAAGGAGCACCGTCGCAGGCCCTTACTCCGAGCCGTTCTGAGATAACCTGCCGATGTATCTGTTGAGATTGGTGCCTTTAAGAATAATAACTGTTTTGATTGTGTTTTTTTTTTATCGCCGTATAATCTTTCAAGTATCTTTCAGTCATAATCGCCGCACGTACTCGCATCCTCTACAGAATATTCAACTGTTCCGTGACCCAAGGTGTTAACAACGTGATAAGGGTTGCGTATGATCAATAAGGAGTGCGGTACTGCGTGAACAATATTGAGTATAATCATTTATTAACGTTAAGGTTTTCTTAGCATAGTATTTGCACGTTTTAACGACTCTCTCTCTCACTAACAACCATCGCGTTAGGCGGGATCCATGTGCAGTTGTCGAAGTGAAATCCGACAATCGTTGATGATACTGTATTGATGCCGTATTGACGTTCCGGGATTGAGAGTTCGCATACTATATCATAGTTAAGGTTGAATTAGTAATAAATTGATCAATACAGAAGTGGTTGTGTGATTCTTTCCTGAAATCTATGCATAAGATCTGCTTCTGCGTTGAGATTTGAACTTGGTGACCTTAATAAACACACTAATACATACTCAGTAAACGTTAAAGCGATAACGGGGTGAACCGGGGTCTGGTTATCATAACGACTTGCATTATCATAATTACACCCACTCGCATAATTAATACGATTACCTCTCGAATTGGCATAATTAAAATGTGCGTAATTACATAAATTAACATATTTCCGGGTAATTACACATTTGGCCAAATTTCATTTAATTATTATTATTTCCACTGAATATTCATAACCCACATATACAACATAATAATTTCACCCACGCACGCATACAACATAACAAATTTTCATACCCAACATATACAACAGTTGTAACAACCAGTTTAAGATGTGTGACCAATGAGACGGACACAACGCAATGGTGATGGCGATGCTGGTTGGGTGGAGCAGACGGGAAACGAGACAAACGAGGGTTCTC